AATTCTAGACACAAGCAACACTGAAAAATTATGTTTTTTATATCATGAGATTTAAAGACTTGTCTAGTACTAAGTTTCAATGAACTTTTCAAAAAATGTTTCTCCTTTAGCCTAGGTTTAGAAGTTGAACTATACTGCAGGTAAAAAGCGTTCCAGACATTTATTGTTCCTCAGGCTGAGCTCTATAAATGTCTGGCAATGGAATTGCTCTGTTATCCTCAGATGAGCTTTTGGTACAAAAATAATCTTCTGCTAAAGGTATAAAAAAATTACAGACTCAAACACTAAAAAAAATCCCACTGCCCATCAAGCTTGTACTCCAAAAATATCATATACCCGTTGAGAGACTGTGACAGTTTCCGGGTGATATGGAATACTTACAGATATTCCCTTCTTCTTCCTTAGCATTAGAAAATCCTGATTATGTGCCCAGCTCTAGGGAATGGATTGTGACTGGTCTAAGCCAGTTAAGACCATCCTGTTCCTCATTTTTACAACTTTGCATTGTGGCCTAATTCTGTCCACTGAGATTCCAGCAGAAGACTTCTTGGGCATTTCCGTGAAAGTGTTTTCTCCTCTAGTAACAAGGAAGATGCAGCTGGCTCCACCTTTTCCTCTTTCTTCCTGCATCAGATGTGGACATGATGGCTGGAACTGCAGCAGTCATCTTGTGACCGTGAGGAAAACGCCAAGAGACTCAGACATCAGTCCTCACATCACTGAGCTGCTAAACCAAAGTGAAAGTTTCCTACATCCAGACTTATTATGTCATAAAAATGAACTTACATTCTTTCAATCAATTGTGGTTAAGCTGCTTCTTGCAACCAAAGGCATCCTAAATAATACTAATGGCAATATATTACATATATATTACTGCAACAGAATGTGTAGTCAATGCTCTTCCTCTGTGTAGACCAGAGGAAACTGCTACAGTAGATCTTTTCAATGCTTTTAACAAAGCCATTTTTCTAAAATTACACTTGGTGAAATTTGGGATAAATATTGGCAAAGTCCACCAAAAGAACCCAACTTAATCAGCATTATAAAAATGTTCTGGATGGAAACACAGCTTGGTATAATGGAGCAATCACTGATACATGAATCAGGAACCATCAATTCAAGCTCTATATACTACCATTATTATTATCTTAAATAAGTCTCTATTCTTTTATGGGCCCTATTTTTCATCTATACAATGAAGGAGTTAAACTGGGTAACCCTGGGATCCCCTTCAGATTTGATATTCTGTGTAAACTGTGAACTGAAATAAATTATCTTGTAAAACTCACAGAATTCTTCTGTGGCCTCCTAATTTGCTGGCTGCTTTCCCGCTAACATCATTGACGTTCGAATGCCTTGAGTAAGTCTGAAAGGACAAATCCGTCTGCATTTGCTCATAGGTATGTCCTATTTTCCCAAAACGCTTTGGAACAAAGGTAGAGGCAGCTTCATAACATGCAAACCACCAATGCAACCCAGAATCCAAATGTGTTTTCCGCGAGGAAGGTGCCTCCTATGGTCTAGAGCTGTTCTTCAATAGACGGAAGCCCGCCATCTTCCAGAATCGCTGGACCGTAGATGAACTGATTAAACATCTGCCTACATCCACCCGTTTCATGTGAGCTACTTGTCCATTTTCTTTTCTTTTCTTTTCTTTCAAAATTAGCACGATCTTTTTGTGCTTTTGCCCTTGATCTTTCAACTCAGGGAAGATTAAACTCCCTACAAGAGACGTCTCTCTCCGTACGTCATCCTGCTACGCTGCCTGCATATTCATTATTGTCCAGGCTGCAGTTACTATTCCAGGATTTAGCTCATTTTGCACTGTGTGGTGAATTCTGAACGAGACACTGTTTACTGTAAAACCCCAAACCCTCTACCAATACTAATAATTTCACCTCCCTTCTCTTTTAAACTTAACAAACTAGAATTCTAATTTATTAAAACGGGGGTATAATTCAATGAGGATGACTCATTTAGGCTATTTTACATTCAACACTACCCTTTAGAAAGGAACCTGACCAAACTGCTTCATTTTTTAACTTCTAAAAAGGATTTTTGTTATAAACATTGTCAAACATTCTGAAAAATACAACCATCTCCCATACACGCATCAACCTGATTCAAAATTAACATGTCTAATAAAATTAGCAGGAACTCCTTGCTATGAGATGTCATGGACTGTCTCGTTCACAGTTGGCTTGCTCATGTCAGCAGCCAGATAAGGACCTGCATTATACTCAGTTGCACTTGGTGGTTGTGTCTCTGAGGTCTTAAGCCTTTGACTGCTGCAGTGACATAGGTAGAATGCTTTCCATTCTGTATCTGTCAGCTTGTCTCCTTGTGGTGCTGTTTTATTTGTTCCTCTGTTTCCTGTATTTCTAGTAAATGCAGCTTGATTAAATTCAGGTTCAACTTTATTTTGCCAAGAATGCTCCCTAGGTGGTACTGAGTGGTCTGTATTTTAGGGGTCCCACGATGACCAGCAGTCTCTCTGTTGATGATGCTGTTGTTAATGAGTGAGTTCAGGAGGCAACAACCCGACTCCTCCCTTGTAAAAATCCCCATCAATATCTAACTGATAATTTCATCCACTGATGATCATTGCCAGGACCAATTACATAACAAGAACTGCAAAATGGGGATATACCATCATTTTTTCCCACATTTATTTCCACCTTGCCTCTTTACTCATGTATTTTAGGTTCAATGAGGAAGAAATAATACAAAAATATGCATTCATGGATGTGGGTCCTGATACAGGAATGAAGGAGTATCTCTCTGAAGGAAACTAGAGATCTTGATTTGGGAAGACAAAGGTAGGAACAAAGCCAGAGACAAAGAGTCTGAGATCTGAGAACAGGAGGAGGGGTCTTAGACCGGGAGCCACGCGACTTGGGACCATGCAGGTTTACACACCCTGGGCAACTCTTATCCTGGCTATCAGGAAGCCCAGAAAAGCATCTGGCCTTGCAGGAATGGAAAATAGAGCACACAGCACCAAGAATGGAGACAATAGCGGAAAGACAGAGGGACCTCCAGTGTGTAAGAAAGGATAGGAGTGAAGTTTGGAGACTCCAGGGTAACAGAACTCAAATCCACATGCTTCTGACAGCCCCACTGGGTGACAGTGAGACTCTAGTGAACAGAGGACTGAGTGATCTCCCTAGTGAACAGAGGACTGAGTGATCTCCCCTACTCCACTCCCCGGGGGCAGTGATCTGCCACTGTCAGCATCTGCAAGCAGCCCTCTCGAAGGCTGGCAGCAAAGCCCAGGGGGGTCGCTATCTGCCATCTATGGGGAGGGGCCGAGGCTTGGGGCACCAGCCTGGCGTGCACCTGCTCTAGCACTGCCCCCCCACCGCCCTTCTGCTCCTGAACGCCACCTTCCAAACATGAGCATCCTCACTTGCTCTGTTCCGCACACAAGCCCACCTGGAGAGCAAATTAATACCATGTTTGCTTACACAATCATCACCCTCTTAGCAGCTGCTCTGGGGGGCTAGGAGGACTGCGTGGATATGTCATTCCAGCTGCTACTGTGCAGTAATTAGAATTTCCTGCTCATAAAATGTAATTCTGATCACACGACACCTCTTGAATCAGGAAGGAAGAAAAGGTGGGAGAGAGGCAACCTGTAAAGGAAGCAACAACACTCTGTAGGGGCCTCTCTGTCCAGCTCACGGGGTGCAAAGGCAAAGGCAGAGGACGAAAAGAGAGACATGCAAGTCAAGATGAATTTTTTTAAATTATGTCAAGGTCACATAGGAATTACATCCAGATCAAGACCCCAAATTCATGGAGGTCTATAAGCAACAAAGAAGACAACAAAAGAAGGTTTTTAAATGATATCTGGAGCAAAGAGGACAAAGGGACAGACTCACTAGTTGGTGAAAGTGTGAGAAAATGAATAGGTAACACAAGACAGTGTTGAAATTCCAGCTGAGCTTTTATCTTCCCTAGTGATAAGAAGAGCCTGAAAACTAGACGGTGCAGAGCTGGTGTCCAAGAAAGCACCTGAAGCCAGGCAGAAGCCATCACGCTGTGGCAACAAGACCAGGTGTCAGGGCAGCAAGAGTACATTTGGGGTGTGGAGGAATATTCCAGAAAAGCTTCAGAGGCTCTGTTAGTAACTCCCACAGGCTCTTGGAGAAGCCAGGAGACAGGAGTTGAGCCAATGCCCTAGTTCCAGAAACAGGGAATAGCTGACTTCAGAATGTGTAGGCAGTTCATCTTGGCCTAAGTCCTCCTTAAAACGGATTGTTAATCAGGTTGTCCGTGAGCATCACCAAAAGACACAACCTGATGTCCTGGCATCGATGTGAGTTAACTAAAAGGAAGTTGTGTTCTGGGCCATTGGATAACATTGAATCTTAGGGCAAGTAGCAAAGAAAGTCATTGTGAAGCTCTTAAATGAGGAAACTGTCCACAGTCAGAGTGAATGATGAAATCACCAAGTGGGGATTTCATTTTGTTGCTTTTCAGTCATGTTAAATGGGATGGTTAAATAGTAAGATGGACACTGGAACTCTTAAGTAAAACGTCTACGTATGCAAGGGCCAAAGCAAGCCCCCAGCGAATGCCGACCCTGTACAGGCTCCAGGTGTGAAATGCTCCGCGCACCAAGGATGAACAAGACCTTGCCCTGCATCAAAGATCTCGCTGTCCAATAGGCCCACATGCAGACATCGCAGACTTCTCTGTGTCCGCCTCCGTGTATGCTGGTCTAGGCTCCATGAAAGGGAAAGCTCTAATTCCTGCCCTCAAGAAATTCCTAGTCTAGCTTGGGATATGCAGGTGCACATGACATGACTGTGAAAAGAGGAGACCTTAGCTGCTCTGAGACTTGAAGGATGGGTAGGATTTGGAAGCGCACTTGATTTGAGGGTGATGATGGCATGGCTGAGCATGACAGGCTCATGGGAAAATAAAACACCCAGCTGACTGGAATGCAAGATTCCAGTGCATCCATTCACCCATTCATCTGTTCATTCACTCACCTTGTAGTGGCATTGCTACTATGGGGATAACTGAGACAGACTCAGCCTCTGATCTCATGGAGCTCCCATTCTAGCTGAGGAGGGAAACAGGAAATAATGATAAAGTCCATGTTTTCAGAGATTTTTTTCCTTATTATCTTCTTAAAACGTAATATTAGATACTTAAAATACTTCATGAATGCAACTTGTAAGGCATTTACTGAATGCCTAGGTACTTGCCACACAACCTAAGATTGCAATATCACCCATGACTTACATCTATGTGTGTCTACCGCCCGCTGCTTCACTGCAGTTGAGACGACTGCGTGGAGATGTATCTAACTGTAACACTGACTCACAGGGGGACCTGACATAGTCTTGGGGGGTCACAGAAGGTTTCCCTGAGTAGTGTGTGTTGAGAAATAAGAACGTATTAAAAAAAGAAAGAAAGAAATTGCAAAAATAAAGTTATCAAGGGCAAAAAAAAAAAAAAAGACGAATGCACAAGCGGAGGGGGGGGTACTTTGAAAGACACCAAGACACAGGATTTAGACCGCAGAATGACAGGAGCAGTGGTAAGTGCAGTAACAACAAAATCAAAAAGTCACTGCTATGCCTCGGGGACTGACTATATGTTCTCCTAAACACTGCAGACCTCTGTTTCATCGTCACCTTCTCTATTTTGCAGCTGGGGAAACTGAGACTCAGCAAGGTTGAGTAATACATGCAAGGTCACAGAGCTGGTAAATTGAGGAGCTGACATGTAGCAAGATAGTGTAAGAAATGAGAAAAATTACAATCGCTGGCTTAGCAGAGTCAGATTCCTTTCACTTGACTGTTTTCTAAATGATGCACTTACAAATACATATTTATTCACTTAGTCTATCCATTAAACATCTAACACAGGGCACTGCTCTGGACTCAGACAAGATAGTCTCACTCCCAGGGCAGATGGACCTTTATCTAAATTTATAGCCAGTTAGTGCTGGGAGCCAATAGCATTTCATCCTGTGGAAAGCTGGGTTCGTTTTCCATCAAAATATTATTTAACGGCAAGACCCCAAGTGGAATGTGCCAGAAGACCTTTAGCAATTGTGCACGGCATGTTATTTAAACTAAAAACAATGCTGTGAAAAATTGCACTTCAGCACAAACCATAGACAGCACACCCAGTGGAACTGACCAGCTGAAAAGGAGACATGATGATTGAAATATTTTCCAGACTATTGCATCCTTGATGGGTTTAAACAGAGAGAAGAAAGACAGGGAAGGGGAAGAGGATGATTTAGGGTGTTTCATTTAAGAACAATGAGATTAAATTAACCTTGGGGGGTGGGGGACAGCAGAGGGTGGTGTAGAGAAATATTATGCAAGATATGAGAAGCTTCCCAAAAGAGAGGTAGGCTAGCCTGCAGGATTTTCCAGCCCAGCAAAGCAGGCAAAGCCATCTATCATTAAAGTCATTTACAAGCAAACTTGACAAATTGCTGAGAAAACATATTATGGACCACATTCCTAGTTTTAGGAATGGAAAACTAACAGGTCTTTTCTGTCCCTAAATCGGGAAAACTGACTATTCTTTGAGATGTGTTTTCTTGCATTCTTTCAGTCTCATTTCCTCAATTTTCAAACAAACATCGACATGTAAGATCCCCAACTTCTTGGATGGGTGTCATAGCAGCGACAGCGCTAATAAAATTTCAACCCAGGGAAGGAGATGGGTTGCATTACAATTTTTAAATGTCTATTAACTGAGCTATCATATTAATAAAGCCGACTTCTTAATCCTAGTTTACTTACAATTTTCAGTCAGGCTGCAGAAATTCGAAATCACACAAAGCAGCCAAAAGATTAAAAGAAAATTCCCAGAATTAAAACCCAGCAGACCTAAACATTTATTGACTTCTTAGCACACCGAGAAAAATCAAAGGTTTGCTTATAGCGGGAAAGGGCGGGAGTGACAGGCCCAGCTTTGCCAGCTCTGGAAATCATCTGCAAGAAGCCTCAGCCATCCTCACTGCTCCGCTATTTAAGACAACTGTGCAGTGACATGACCAGAATTAATGTTTGAGCGTTGCTGCCCCCTGCTGGATGTACGGAACCAAGTTTATCCAGGGCCCAAGGAAATTCCATTTGCAAATTTCAATTACTTTTCTAGTCTCCTTCCTCCCATCCCCCGCCGGAAATGGCACTCTCCCCAGGGCTCCGTCAGGAGACAATTCCATCTGAGCTAATGGGCAAACATCCCTTATAATGCAATTAGTGGAATTCCTCATATGGTAACCCCAGTGACCCTCCATCAGTGCAGTTCACCAGAGCAGGGGAAAATATGAAACACACCGTCTCGCTGCTCTGAGGCCCACTTTATGAAAATATCCCATTGAATTAACATTAATTCAAGCACTAGTGGTTCTTATTCTCAGGGGATCCAGGGTCAGCCAAAATGTCAACTAGTCTCTCCCTCCCCTGCAGATGCCATTTATATAGGGGGCCTCTCTCCTAATGGATAGGCTGCTGCATCCCTGGGAGCAAACCCGTCACAAAAGCCTCTCAGGACCATGAGCTCCAGAGCCCCCTGAGCTGCCAGCAGACCCCTGACATGCTAGTGGTCCACTGAGGCCTGGTGGCACTGGTCGGGTCTTCATTTTTATAGCCAGGCTCCCACAAGGTGACTGCTTCGGAACGAGTGAAGGGGAGGAAGAAAAACAATTCCAGTTGTGATGACATCTCCACTGTGCTGGGTAATAGGAATTCAAGGGTGGATAAGCAGTCGGCCACTCCTAGGCCACTTACAACACAGCGGTCAGTTCTCAGCAACTTGTCCACGCCAACCGAGCTGGCCAAGACTCAGATCTCAGGCCCAGTCTTAACAAAACCCCTTCCAGCCGCCCCTCCTGACATACTTCTCTCTGAGTTTTTCAGCCCAGCCCTCAAATGCCCAGTAATCTCCCAACACAGAGCGCCCCCCACTGGCCTGTGCTCCGGGGCGGGGGGAGGGGGGCTCTTGCTAAAAACCAGCAGTTCTCAAAATTCACTGGAAATGTGTCACGACTGCAAATTCCTGGGCTCCAGCCAGGCCTAATGATTTAGAAATTAAGGGTTGGGGCCTAGCAATCTGCATTTCACAAGCCCTCTGGGAGATTCTGATGTTGACTCAAGTTCAAGAACGGTGGTTTTAATGTCTTCCACTTTTCTCCACACACTAACTCCCAACCAAAACTGATTCTTATCTATGTCTCATTAATGCTGATGCAGGAAAAAAAGTCAAAGTCTGACCAACCATTCTTCATGCCCATTATTGATGCTAATGGCCTCTCCATCCTCAGAGGCCTCAGTGAACCTCTTGTGAAAGCTTCCCCTGGTCCTCAGAACTCTGGCCAAGAAAACTTATCATTCCCTTTCTCCTGCATGAGCCCACCACACTGGGTGACCATAGCCTTCACAGGGACTCACTGCCCCTTGTCAGGTAGAATGTGGTCCAGGACCAGCCTCATCTGCATCCCCTGGGAGCTTATGAGGAATAAAAGATCCCAAACCTTGCCCTAGACCTACTGATCTGCAGCTGCCTTCGAGCAAGAAATCCAGTTGACTCATAGGTGCACTGGAGATGACGAACTGTTACAGACAGGTGCTGTGTGCACACTCAGGCACACACACACAGGCACAACGGATTGTGCAGTGGTCTGGGGACAGGCTGGGCCTCATTCAGCTCTGGGTCCCTGTGTTCACAGTCCAGCCGGAGACATTGACTTTCAGCATGAATACGTCTTTGGTGAGCGAACGGTACGAGTGAAGAAAGGCTGCTTTTGTAATGAGGGATTTAGGAAGATGAGAATAACGAAACCCAGGAGTAACTGCTAACATGTTCCCAAGCCCCGCGGAGCGCAGTGGAATCTGAGAGAGTCTGTGGCTGGGGCCCTTCAATCACATCACAACCCCAGTGACGAATGACAGACTACTCAGAGTTTGTGCAGCAGCTGCCTCCCACGGATTGCCTGGGAGAGGGAGTAAAGGACCCTTGACTTAACAGTGAACTGGTGTGGGATCTAGAGTGATTAGAAGTTAGACACTCAAAGGATGTTGGTCCGAGAGGCCAGTCTGGCCATGGCGCAGATGAGGGACAAAGATAAGAGAGGTGACACAGCCATGGCTACCCCCTACCCAACCTCACCCAGGCTTCTCGGGCTGGCAGATCAGGGGCTGGAACCCAGACTTTGGACCAGGCTGTATCATACTAGCTGTATTACACTGTTTTAATACTAGCACTGTCCTAGGGCCCATCACAAGTTCCTCTTTCCCACCCCTGCACCATCCCCATATTAACGATATTTATTTGGCTTCTAAGACCTAACCAAAGACATCAGGGACTTCAACAAAACAGAAGGTTTATATTTCTCTTGTGAAAAAGTCCTAGCAGGCAAGTGACCCAGGGGTCAAGTGGCTCTGCTCCACATGGTCACCCAGGTTCACCATCATGGTGCTGTCACGGCACGCGCAAGGTAAAAACTGGACCTCCCGTACCCTGCTGGGGCTCCAGCCGAGGGGCTGTAGAATGATGAAGGGGGAGGATGGGGCCCTTAGCTGCACACGTCACTTCTGCTCACACCCTCCTGGCTAGGACTCAGTCACTCGTCTTACTGGGCTGCAAGGAAGGCTGGGAAATGCACTGTAGCTGGGGGCCTGCGTCCAGCTCAAACAAAGGGGGCCCTATTACTAAAAGGAAGTGGGGAATTCACGTTGAGGGAAAGTCTCCACCCCTAGCCCGGCTTCTCTATTAGGTGAGGCCACTGGGAGCCTGGTGTCTCTGGGTTTTTGGATGCTTTAACGGAGAGAAAGGGCTGGACAGGGACACTGAGGAGAGGCCACCAGAGTACCCTGCATATTACAACTCACTGTTCCTTGTATTAAGGAATAGTAAACTTTGTTGTTTCTGTGCCCACAACTCTTACACACACACACACACACACACTCCTCAGAACGTGCAGACTTAACGCATCTTCTGTACATCTGGGGTTGAGTTTTCCCATCTGGGTGACAAGACATCTAGACCGGGGAAGCCATAGGCCCCTCTAGTGTGAATCCCCCTCAGCTTCTCC